ACCCAGTCTAGAGTTTTTATCAATATCGTGATCAATATGAATATGAGATCGGAGCATCTCTAGCTTTAAGTGAACCAACCAGGATTAAAGTGTACCGTTGCCAGATGTTGTTACTCATGCCTAGGAAGAAACTCAAATTTTCAGAGTTTCGTGCCTCTAGTAAGGCTCAAACCCACCAGAGGTTATCCTAAACTTTTCTCTTGTCCATCATTTTACCAGATAAAAACAAATCTGTCATATTCTATTTTTACCTGTCACTTTTTAAAATAATAATGACCTACTCAATTAAATTGCATATCATTTGCTTTAATTAGTATTTAACAAGCTGAACAGACAATCCGCACTATACAATCGGAGGTCACACAGATCCATACATGTAACTCGCACTTAAATTATGAAGATGAACATGAATTGTGCAGCCGCTTGTGCGTAATCAAATGTCTGTGAGTGCACAGACCTACCAGTGGATGGGAGAGTTCGCTACGTCAGAACTTATTTGGTAAATGTGTTTCCATCTCCCCTTTAGCGCATTAACACCTTTTCACAAACTCCAAAAACCACCTCAACAGGGCTTTAAAACATTTTTGCGAAATTTAAAATGTTTTTTTCCATCAACCTTTTCCCCAAGTGGACTATAAGCCTGGCGGGCCACCAGGCTTTATTTGCCACCCGACCAGGCTGAGCGTTGTTTGTTTATTTTAAATAAAGTTTTAGAGACCAGTAACAGTGGCAGTAAAGACAGATTCATCTAAGTTTATAGTTGACGCTTTCCTGCCCCTGCATCTGCCCGTTGGCCTCACACACATTTCCAAATTATGATGCCTGCTCACGCACCTCTACATCTTTGTAGCTTTTAACATCTTCAACACAAAAACATGGTGGAGGAAGCCCCATTTCCTCCCAATACTTCAAAAAATGCATCAAAAACCGGTGACAGAAACACGGCTGGTGTGCCTGCGGCGTAGTGACGGGGTTTGTACCTGAGGAATGATGGTGAGTTTGGACCTCAAGTCATGCAGGCCGATCTCCGATATCTTCACGCCGTCAATGGTGATCTCCCCTCCAGCGGCTTCCAGCAGTCGGAAGAGGCAGAGCGTCATGGAGGACTTCCCAGCTCCGGTGCGACCCACGATGCCGATCTGCTCAGGATCAAACCGGGTGGTCACCTTTTCCGTGCCTGATTAAAAATCCATATTAATTTAAAAAATAAAAATAATATTGTCGCTACCTTCTCTCCTCCCTTAACGCTGAGCGTGATGTTCCTCAGGACGAGGTCCAGACCCTCGCGGTACCGAACACTGTACTCGTTGAACTCCACGTTGCCCTGCGTGGGCCACTCCGGAGGGGGCTTCTTCTCCTCCACCTCCCATGGGGCCTAGAAGAGAGAACACACCTTTTTCTGACAGGAACACTTTCTGGTAACTTTTTTAAAAAGGGGAATTTTTTTTTTTTTTTTTTTTTTGTATTTTGCTTTTAAACCAAAGTATTTCATCAGGCGTAGAGCAGCTAGTGAACGGAGGGAGCCGTGCTGCTAAAGTACAGCGTGTACAAAACGCAGTGTTTGTGTTGGGCAGCAGGCGGGGGGCTTGTTGGAAGCAGGTAATGTAACATTTCTGGATCTAGTTACGGTTTATAGGAGCCGCGCAGCTCGAGCTGAGCAGCATAGCAGCTTTATGAAATGTGTCTGAATTCCTGCGTTGTTCATTCTAGCATGGAGTCGGTCTGGAGGTGTGTGTGTGTGTGTGTGCGTGCGTGCGTGCGTGTGAGAGGGCGGACGGCATCACTGATTTAAAAGCAAACACATGCTCAGCCCTGCATGAGCTTCTGTGGAACATGAGAAACAAGCATTGCTTCTAAAAACATTTTAAAAATAAAATGATGCAGCTAATGATTATTTTCGTAGCAATTACTCTGACAATTAATCGATTAATTTCATAAAAAATGTGGTAAATTCTGCAGCTTATTTTATGTATTATTAGAAAAACATAAGAACAAAATCCCCTTTTCAGATAACAAAAATAATCATATTGCCTAAAATGCAATAACAGCATTCCATTAGAGAATATATTTACAGACAAAGATGGTTTTTCATCTTTAATGCAAAAAGTTTTTATATATATTTTTTTTAACAGTTTTGGCCTAATTACTGCTCCGAACTGTGTAGTTCTTTCAGCAAATGGCTACTTAAGATTCTTTATACTCCACTTAATGATTATTGTTGCACAAATAAGTAGACGATTATTCCAATAATCAATTAATCTGATTGTTTAAACTGAGGATGCTCCACATACCTCGGTCTTGGTTTCGGAGTATTCTTTCACTCTCTCCACCGCTACTATGTTGTTCTCCAGGTCGGAAGTCATCCGCACCATCCAGTTCAGAGACATGGTCACCTGTTCGAATAATCCCGGTTTTAAAAGTCGCTCAAGGCCACATGGTGAAATCTACTGACCAAGATCCCTGCTGACTGGGCTTTACTGGTGCAGCAGAACAGGCTCCCACTTTTGAGGGGGCGACCAAAAAAAAGTTGTTATTTTTTTTGGGCACAAACATCCCACTGCTTGGGCTCAGTTCACTGGTTGTAATTTTAAAAACATCGTTGGAATTTAATTAATTTAACACTAAAATATCTTCAAATATAAAGATGAAATTATGGCACGTCTTTTTGGGACCAACTTGTAGCCACCTTCCATGAATAAAATATATTTTTTCGCGGGCATAGGTCACCAGAAGTGGCTCCAGGAAAGAGGCCCTTATTCTTCTAAATCAGGCCTTGGCAGTTGAAGAACAGCATCACCACAGCATGACACTGCCACCACCATGTTTCAGCGTAGAGCCGCTGTGCTTAGGGGGATGTTTTCCTCCAATTGTGGACAAAAACTCATATCTCTGATCAGGACTTGATTTCTTTTAACAATAACTTTCCTCCTGCCTCTCTGCTATAACTTTCAGTTCACTAATTAACTTCTGAAGACACATGCTTGTTCTGGATTTTATTTAGAGGCATTAAAGTAAAGGGAGCACGTCACACATTTCATACATAGATATTTTTTGTAAACCTTTTCCACCCACTCCCCAATGATGCTCCTCTGTGTGTTGGTCTCTCGCTTAAAAATAAATCAAAACACACAAATTTGGAGTGGAAAAGGCTCTGCAAGTGCAGCACATACAGTAAAAAGTTGTTCAAATAGCATGAGTTACATCACCTGGAGCGCGTATGACACGGACAGACCCACGAGGCCAGGGCTCAGGGTTGCCTTTCCCAGCACAGCGAAGAGAGCGGCAAACAACACGATGCAGTTCCCGATGAACTCGATACGAACTCCCAGCCACCTGCGTGACAACGGGCGTCCAGTTAGAAACCGTCCCACTTTATACTGGCATTATGCAAAGACTCTGTGTCAGGGTGAAAAGATAACAATAGTCTAACTGGTGTGGCCAGAGAGGTGATGGTCGGTGCGCTGAGAGGAAATGAAACGTTTCGTCATCGAGATGGTTATAAGAAATAATTACATCGAGTAGAAATGATTGTCGTCTTGCATCTTGTTGGCACTTGAAAACAGATGACCTTAAACAGAACTTTGATTCTTTCTCTCATTTACATGATACAACATGACTGTACATTTCTAAACAATTTCTAAATAGTAAAATAACTTTACAGACCATCAATGTTTCCACTGACTGGGTTTTGGAAATGTTAACATGTTTGGAATTTGGTGCCAGAAACTCAAACTATTTTGCAAGTGTCCAAGTTGTTAATTCCCATTTTATTTTCTTTACTAATAATTACTATTTGCTTTGTGAATCAGAGGCTGAGCAAACAGTGGGAATGAAGACAGGCAAAAACGGTTCTGTGAAGTCAGACATTAGTGGATCTGGGTTGGTTGCACCCAAAGCCTCAAAGTTTTTTTGTTTTTTTTTTACATTAATACAAATTGTAAGGTTGAATCAATCTAAGAATATAAGCCAGTTTTTGGATTTCTTAAACTATATTCCCCATTTGCAGGGGAATATAGTTCCCCTGCAAATGGGAACTATTTGCAGGGGAACTTTTACAAACAGACACGGTGTCCTGACCTGTCTTAAATGAATTGCTAAACGATTAATCGATGTCTAAATTAGTCGCGATTTATACGATTAATAATTTCAGCCCTACTTCATATTAAACCCTATAAATTAAAAAGAAAATGTTGAATGAATTCATATCTATTCAAAGATAGACAAGCAAATAACTTTGGTAATACAGTGTAAAAACAGAAACCTTACTCTATTTTAGTGTTGGGATTAAACCGAAATGATTTCACTCTGCTAAAGTTGCTCGGTCAAATATTTACATTTTCTACAAGCGTTTCTTCACAGACCAAGGCAGTTGGTGTTTCCCGACTTAAACCGGAGGGAGACTTACCTGTTGGACACGATACCAGGGTAGTAACTCTTTTGGTTCTCGTCCACCTTCATATCGCTCATCAGGACAAAGGCAGTGTGTCTGCCGTAGGCTCGGATTACGCTGGAGCCGGTGATGGTCTCAGAGAAATGGGAGTATATGGGAGAGCGGCTGACCGATTCCAGGCGCTTAAGCTGCCGTGACGTCGCAACGTAAAATCTCTACAGGCGTCGAGGATGGAGAGAGACAAACATGGCGTTACAACCTGACGAGGCCCTCGCACGTGTTCAGAAATTACAGAAAGACAAAAATGCACAAAGATGAGTTCAAACACACACACGTACACACACACACAAACATGCGCACAAATAGTAATAATAATAAAAGCAGCTAAAAAAAAAAAAGAACAAAACACCTGCAGAGTTATTTGATATTCCGGGTTTCAGATTTGATCATTTGCCAATCGCCATCAGCTCGTAAGCAGCACGCCGACCTCAGGAATGCTGTACGCTCTCTGTGCTGAGGCATGTAAACACTTTAATTAATTCGCCGGTGCGCTGCTGGATAGTAATGTTGCAACAACAACTCAGCACCAGTGGAGTGGAGCTGCTGGTGTTTTGTTTTTCATTACAGATGCAGTATATTGTCTTAAAAAAAAAATCACATTTATAGTCTTGTAAAGAGGATTCATTATAAAGTGTTAGGAGCCTACAAGCCTTTAGTATTGACAGTATGTCCTCAGCTTGTTTCCCAGATCAGTTCAGGGAAAGAGGGAGTAAAAAACAAAACAAAACAGAAGAAGAAACAAAGAGTCATGCAGCAAAGAGCAGACCATGCAGGGTGGATGTTATGAAAAAGCAGCAGGACAGAAATTACCCTGTTATTACCGACTTTGCTCATTTGGAGGTCCAGGTAGAATCACAGCATGAACACACACAGAGTCTTCCTTCGATAACCACCAACTCTGAAGTCTGGCGCGTAAATACTGATGTGCTGGTTTTGATCCCAGACAGGCAGCGCTTTGCAAAAGTGTTCTGAACCCTCGGCATTCTTCACATTTTGTTTCCTCACAGCCACAAACTTGAATAAATCGTAGGGATTTTATGTCGCAGACCAACAAGTAGGGCATGAAATTTGATTTCCAAAGATTTTTTTTGTTCCCCCCACTGATGAAAATCTGTAAAGTGTGGCATATATTTACATTCAGGCCTTTTAGTCTGACACCAGCACAAATGAAACAAACAAATAAATGTCTGAATACAGCAAATCTAAGCATTTAGTGCCCCTTTTTTTTTTAGCATAATCAAGTAACTATGTTA